CCTTGTTAATCAGCTATCATTTCCCTCTGATTTTAGGAATAAATGATGGGTAAGGTTAGGTTTAGGGGTGGGGATTGGGTTAAGTCTGTATTTTTGGACAGTAATGTTGATCCAGGATCAACAAAAGATGTTGATCCAGGAACATGTCTTACTTGGCAAAATCATGGCGACCACGGATTTGAAACGACGGCTGATTAAACGATGACAGAATTTTCATTTATATGTATCTGTACCAGAACGATCCCCATTGTTAGGAGGAATTGAATATTGTTGCAAAAATCATCCCTAACTCCAACATTTAAGAGTTAAATTATAAGAAGGGAAACCCCGTAAGCGTTAACCAATAAAAGAAAACTTGTAGCAATTCAAACGGTTGTGTGATGTCACGAATCAAGCGCCACAGCAGCATCCCTCAGTCTGACACCATGACAACCACAGCGCGCGAACGCTGGAATCTTTGCATCTGCCGCGAAGCCCAATACGAAGACAAGATGCCGCCATACGCGTGCGAGACGCACTTGTTTTTTTGAAATATTCCTCGCTCCGCACTTTTGGAAGAAGACGTCGGAGATTCGCAAAACCACCTGTATCTAGCGTCCGTGGGCAATGTGAGTTAAACAGCCTTTCTGCTGGCCAAACCTTAATATTTCTGTGCCGTAAGAACTGCGCTGGGTTGAGTGCACTGAAAAAAGCCACGCGTATAGGAGCGATAAAATGCGCATTGGAGTCAGGGATGCTCCTCATGGCATTTACGCGTGGAGAACCCACTGGGGCGTGTGTGTTGTGCGTGTTAATGTATGTGTGAGAGAGTGAGAAAGGAAAATAGAGGAAAGAAAAGAGGCTCGTACATTCGCCGCACGCGTTCCACTGGCTCTACATGGGGAATATGAGGATCTCGGGAGGACGCCAATGATAAATAGTATTCCAGACTCCCCTGCCACATAAGAAGACCACGGAACACCCTCCTCAGAGACCCCTTGTTTGATACGAGGGGCGACTGAATATCCATATAGTAAGGCGCATCAGGTAAGCGACGCCATACGGGGATTCGTTATATTCGCATTGAAGTTTTAAAACGTCTTTTGTCGAGCATCATTTGATGCAGCGCAAAAAGTGCCTACCTACATCTGCAGGTGTCAGTGCGTGCGTTTGGTCAAAAATAATGGACATACCACGCAACTGACCATGCAAACCTTGTCTGTAAAGTAAATGAAGCGTTTTTATGCAGATTTTAATGAATTTGGGAAGCTTTATGAGATTTTACTGCCAATATTGAGACCAAGGATATGATAAGAGTTTTCACAACATTCATGTTCTGTTTTCTTAAAGGGTCTTCTAACAACTTAAAATTTTGTTGTAATGGTGTATTGGGGTTTCATCATCTTAAATGATCCTGATTACTGCATGGATGCTTAATGCTGCAGTGTTGGTTTGAGTTCAACTTCGAGATCACACGATATTGATTTTTGGTGACTATACCAATATACAGTATTTTTTATGTATGTAAGCGTCCGATAACCAGTATGCAGAACAAATTTTTTATTGTTTTATTTTTGCTTATTTATACAATAATTAATGATCATAATACAACAGCATATACATTCTGAATTATGTTATTATTGATGATGATGAAGATTATTTATTCAAAGTTGTTTGCAAGTGGCAGATTTATTTTCATCCTTATTTAGGGCTGTCTGAATCTTAAACGATACATTTCTCACTTGAGAACAAATGGCTGTTATTTAAAAGCATTAATGCAATGCATTAAATAAGTTGCTCTACTTGTAAATATCATTTTTGGCTGCTTTTCCATAGTGATCAATCAAATGGCATCATTTACAGATAGTAGAGATCTAATAAGTTGAAAAGATTGAATATCAGGACAAATTTTGGTCAAACTAATCATCAGTCTGTCTCTATTCAAAATGCCAGATTGTAATGATTATGTAAAAAAAAAATCTTTAATGCATGTAAGACTTGCTAAGCAGGCACTGATGCTACAGGATAATTATTGATACCCGCTGCTCTCTGAGGGCTGAAGATTGTGATCAAAGATTTATACACTCGTTCCAGACACTGTTACTGTATGTGTGGAAAGAGAGGTTAGGAAGTAGACAGGGATTGTCCCAATAGATTGTCCATGCTCATCGCCTCAAGGGAGCTGAGGGGGAAAAAAAAGAAATTGGTGTGAGCAACACTATTAGGTCTGTACAGTAAATGAAGCGTTTTTAATGCAGATACTTAATGAACTGGGGAAGCTTAATAATATTTTAAAGGCAATTGTCACAAGGATGCAAATGATAGTTGTAACATTTATGATCTGGCTAGTTAATAGGGTCTAACATCTTTGGATTGTATTGTTATGGTGTGATGGGTTCCATCATCTAAAACAAGTCCTAAAAGAGCCTAATGCCGCAGTGTTGGTTCAACTTTTTAGACTGTAATGGATTTGTAAAGAAATATCATTCTTTTTGACACGATTTTCTGAATTTGCAGAACATTTACTCAACCTCAAGCCATCTAAGATGTACTGTAGATAAGTTTGTTTCTTCATTGGAACAGATTTGGAGAAATTTAGAATTATGTCACTTGCTCACCAATGGATCTTCTGCAGTAAATGGGTGCTGTCAGAATGAGAGTCCAAACAGCTGATAAAAACATCACAATAATCCACAAGTAATGCCCATGACTCCAGGCCATCAATTAACGTCTTGTGAAGTGAAAAGTTGCATGTTTGTAAGAAACAAATCCATCATTAAGGCATTTTACCTTTAAACTGGCGCTTCTGTACAAAATACCATAATTCATAATGACGCTTCCTCCAGTGAAAAAGTCCATCCCTTGTTGTCCTCTCACATCAAAATCCACTCACATATTTGTTTAGAACTGTTTTGGACTGTTTTCGCGTTCAAGCAGTGCTTGATCTATGCATATATCTCTCTTAACTCAGACGAGATGGTTTGAAGTTAAAAACGTCTTGATGGATGTGTTTATTACAAACATGCAGCTTGTGGATTACTTACATTTCTTGTGGATTATTGTGATGTTTTTATCAGCTGTTTGAACTCTCATTCTGACAGTACCCATGCAAACTCATATATATATACAGTATATATATGTACATATCTTTTTATGCACATTTTCCTTTTTGGTGAACTAGCCTAATCCTTTAATGTATGTCAACATCTGAAGTAGTATACCACAAACACTTATACAAACTGTTCCGTTCAGTATAAATGCATTTATACAGACAATATTAATACAGAAATAATGTTATAACATTAATGTTTTTAACATGAAATTGAGCAATGAAATTATGAATAGAAAAAAGCAAAGAAACAACAAAGATATAAATTATGAAATATAGAAAGTTTAAGACTGTTTGATGCTGTTTTGAAGGAGCACCAGAGTTGGTTTGGATACTATGAGTCAGTGGCAGTGCTGTGGCATATTTTAGTACCATTTTTATGCTGCATTATGTCTTTAAACAGACATTGGATGTGTACAGATACCTTAAGGCTACAGGATAATAAATGATATCTGCCCATCTCTGAGGGCTGAGGAGTGTGATCCCAGTTTATACACTCGTTCCAGGTGCTGTTTTGAGTGGAAACAAAAGGGAGGCAGTAGACAGGGTTTGTCCCAAATGGACTGTCCATGCTCATTGCCTCAAGGAAGCTCAGGGGAAAAAAGAAATTGGTGTGAGCAACACTATTAGGAGGTGACAGAAGAAAAAATCTTGACTGTATAACGTATTGTATTTAGTTTGTTGGTGTATAAGATATGCTTTGAGTTTGTAAGTCAGGGTTCATTTGGACTAATGTCTCTGGGGATCAATTTAACCTTGTCCCCAGTTTTTCATCTCCAGGGTTGTAATAAAATTGCACAGGACACATCAGGGTCCACCCTTTCAAACCCTTGATTATAAGTGAGTGACCTAGCCTCTCAAATAAGATTACATCGCTTAATGGTGCATTACATAAGATAAACAGATTTGGGACTTAGGCAAATGCAGGTGGTGTGTACTCACTGGCCCACACACGTCTTCAAAAAAGTGGATCATCATGCTTTTTTCAGAATAATCATCAAATCCTTAATGTACGGTGCACCTACAGTAGCCTACTGTAGGTGATTTTAAGGATGGTAAAGCCTTCAAAAAAAGAGTCCTTGAGAAAAAGAGTGAAGAAAAAGTTCCCTGGGGAGGAATATTTAGTATATTCACATAGCTTTCAAAATGAATGTACAGTGAGTGTTTTACGGATGCCCACCGAAGAAGAGTGTTTTGGAGAAGTTTGTGAGGACCAGTGGAGTTTATGTACATATGGGCAACAGACGCTCCAAACACAGACACAATCGCTTGTTCTGACAGAGGAACTATTCACTGATGTCATCGACCTGCCTTCAAATAGCTGAGTTTCCACACATTCAGAATGCTTTCATTTTTTTTCATTTGTCTTTTGGTGTGTTTAGTGATTCTGAATGGATCCGTATGGTAGTTTATATGCAGTCCTATGGCATCTCCCTGTAGTCTTGTTTGGTATGGCAGGTTGACTTGTGCTTATTTGTTAAAGTTACTGTATAATTGAGCTTTATGTGCTTTTAAGTACTTTTAAGATGTAAAGAATATCTGTAGTGACATAGTATGTTTGCAAAAAAAACAAACACTGAATGTAAATCTGTCTTGAATTTGTTTTGTTTAAAAATAATTACATGGAATTGAAAATTATATAACTCTAGAATACAATGGTTTTTGTGAAAAGAAAATGTTGGGGGTCCTTGCGGTATTGATAGGACGGGGGCCTTAGAGTAAAAAAGGTTGTTATTTTGTCACTGTGGCATCATTCAGGACAAGAAGACTTATTGGTAACAAGTAAAGCACAGATTCTATAAACAGTACAGTGGTAAAGACAGTTAAATAGTGAAAAAGAAAGAAGGAAAGAGAGAAATAAGGACAAAGGGAGAAGGTCAAATGTACTTTGTGAGAAGATAATACATCTAATAGAATTGCAGGGTGTCTGGTGGCTTATGCTGTCTGGCTTTGCGGTGACTGAGTGTTTGAGTCCAGCAGAAGTCAACTCCTCTGAGGCCCAGACTCATACAAGCTCCTTACATGGTTTACATCAAATCAGAACCCATTAATGAAACTGCCAATGCTCTTTAGCAAGAATAATGTGCCATTATTGGAAATGCAGAATGTACCTACTGTTTTGGTCATTCTAAAATGCATTGGATGCATTGTTGGATGTGATTATTGTCATATTTACATCTAAAGTTCAAAATTGGTCAATGTGATTTCAAAATAGATCTTTTCAAATGCCTCATGCTAACATTTTGTCTATTGGGGAAACATAAATTGGTACTTTTTTACATTTATATAATGGTATTTTATTTATTTAATTTTATATTTATTATTGACCTTTTGTTAAAGCCTAAAAAACTGACCAGTCCTATCTAATCGAGTGTTTCTATGGACTATACTATCAGACAAGCTTTTGTAGTCCTCTGTGTTAAGATTGCAAATTTATTTTTAAATCAAATTGTACGCAAATGATTCAAAAATACATTAAAATGTTGCTTTGTAGTGCAGAGAGATCTACATAACTGAAAAATGGAGTAGTGTTTATGTTGAACTTTTTCGAATTTGCTCAAAAATTGCTAGTAAATTTAATGAATAATTACAAACTACAAGTAACACATTAAATTAAATTAAACATACAATTTTGAAGTAGTAAAATAATATTTTCGTGTAAAACATACACTGAAGGACCTAGAAGCAATTTTTACTCAGAAATTCTTAGTAAATTTCACAATTAATCATTTCATTACAAAGAAAGGGCAAGTAACATTGAATTAAACATGAAACTTTGAACTTGTAAAAAATGCACGGCTAAAGTAGTTCCAGGCAGGTCTTGACCGCATATTTCAAAGGTTCTTACAGCTTACAACAGAAAAAACAAAACAAAACCCACAATGTCACTGACCAAGCAAATAAATATAGTAAACAACAAGATAAAAATGACAAAATT